TCACTCACTCTCTCACACACACACACACACACACTCACTCACTCACTCACTCACTCACTCACTCATACACACTCACTCACTCACTCTCATTTACTCTCACACACTCTCACTCTCACACTCACACACTCACTTACTCTCACTCACTCACTCACTCTCACACTCATTTACTCTCACACTCACTCACTCACACACACACACACTCACTCTCACACTCACTTAGTCTCACACTCATTTACTCTCACACTCACTCACTCACTCACACACACACACTCACTCTCACACTCACTTAGTCTCACACTCATTTACTCTCACACTCACTCACTCACTCACACACACACACACACACTCATTTACTTTCACACTCACTCACTCACTCTCTCTCTCACACTCATTTACTCTCACACTCACACACTCTCTCTCTCACTGACCTGTGAGCGGCTGGATGCTGAGCTGAGGCTCCTGAGAGTAAACCTCATACTGAACCACAGGGTAAAGATGTGGCAGAATGAACTGCACTTGGCCCAGTGTCGCACATAGCTGCCGGAGAGTATACACACCCGGCTTCTGACTCTGACAAAATCACACATTCAGTCATTTTAAAAATATGTATGAAATCACATGAAAATGTGGTGTTTATCACATTTTTACCCTGTAAGCCTGAGATTCCCAAAACTTTTTTTGTCAGCTGAACCCCTTTGACATAAAATATTTACTTGATGTCTCCCCTGACATTTAAAGTTAATATTTCTATAATTTAACCATTCTCATGTTTTTTTAATGTTGGTCAGTGGTCAGTCACATGACATGTAGGTTAAAAATTTATTTTTTAATTATTTATTTTACATTTTTATGATTTAATTTGTAGTAAGTGTTTTATTTGTAAGTTTTATTTAAAATTACTCATTTTAATTTTATTTTATGATTTAAATTATTATATTTATTTTTAAGATATAATTAATTTTAGCAAGTGTTTGAGTGTTTTTCTTTTTTAATTATTTATTTTTATTTTACATTTTTATGATTGATTTAATTTCAGTAAACATTTTATTTAATTTTTTATTTTACATTTATTTTGTTACATTTTTATGAATTAATTAATCTTAGCAAGTGTTTTATTTTGAGTGTTTTTATTTTAAATCATTTATTTTATCTTTACATTTTTACGATTTAATTACTTTTAGTGTTTTATTCTGACTGCTTTTATTTTAAAATTATTTATTTTTCTTTTACATTTTTATTATTTAATTATTAGTAAATGTTAAATGATTTATTTTTACTTTATAATTTATTTTACATTCTTGTGCTTAAATTTTTAGCAAGCATTTTGTTTTGTTTTTATTTTAAAGGGGTCATGACATGAGAAATCAAATTTGCCTTGATCTTTTGGCACATAAGGTCTTTGTACCAGTAAAACACCCTGCAAGGTTAATAGTAAATCAAAATAATCAAAATAATACATAATGAAAATAATAAAAAATAAGTTATCTATTTTAATTTTATATTTTTACTATTACTATTTAATCTAGTGTTTTATTTTGATTGTTTTTATTTTTAAATTATTGAATATTAAAAAGATATTATGTAAACAAAAACTTTTATTTTGTATAATATATATATATATATATATATATATATAATGTTTTATATTTATTTATTTTTTTGATTTTTATGATTCTTTATGAGCTTTTCATCAGCGAACTCCAGTTTGGGAATCTCTGCTATAATCTGATGAAATGAAACAGCTCTTCTCACAGGCGCGGTGAAGACGATGCTGTTGTTGCCAGGCAACAGCGTGACATCACTGGCCCTCAGCATCTGCGCTCCGTCCTCCAGAGCGAGTGCGGTCAGTGCGGTGTTAGGTGTGTCCAGCGAGGTGGCGCTGTCGTTCTGGCGCAGCAGCAGGTGCATGTTCCTGCAGGCCACGCCGGCGGAGCTCAGCTCGGATATATCAGACGGACTGTGCTCCAGGATCTCACAGAGCTCCAGCGCAGATGCAGACGCAGACGCAGGGCTGGCCGCGGGGAAGGTCACGGTGCCGTCGGGGTTCTGAGCGGCCCGTTTCTGAGCCGTGGAGCCCGGCTGCTCCTGTGTGAAGTGTATGCTGGCGGAGATCTGCTCCAGCGTCACAGGAACGGGCATCAGACTGCAGAGACGCAGCTCCAGCTGCAGGGCGGCGCTCACATGCACCAGCGCCGAGGACGGACGGAAGCGCAGCTCCTGCAGCCGAGTGAAGGAGCTCATGCTCAGAGCCACACGAGCATCTGTCAGAGCCCAGAAACACCAGATTAATACAGACAGTCTGACCCCGTGTCCTAGCGACACGACATAAAAGGTATCTTTTCCATGTTAATCTGAGTTTTTGTCCTAACTAGCCATAGGGCTGGACAATAATTCAATATCAATATATATTGCCATATAATTTTTTTCAATAATGATGATATGGTTTTTAAACACATTTCTGATATGTGACCCTGGAGCACAAAAGCAGTGTTAAGTCGCTGGGGTATATTTGTAGCAATAGCCAACAATACATTGTATGGGTCAAAATTATAGATTTTTCTTTTATGCCAAAAATCATTAGGATATTAAGTAAAGATCATGTTCCATGAAGATATTTTGTACATTTCTTACTGTAAATATATCAAAACTTAATTTCTGATTAGTAATATGCATTGCTAAGAACTTAATTTGAACAACTTTAAAGATGATTTTCTCAATATTTAGATTTTTTTGCACCCTCAGATTCCAGATTTTCAAATAGTTGTATCTCGACCAAATATTGTCCTATCATAACAAACCATACATCAATGGAAAGATTATTTATTTACTTTATTTATTCACAAAATTTACCCTTATGGCTGCTTTTGTGCTCCAGGGTCACGAATTTGTCAGGATTAGCTGTGACTGCTGTAGTAAACACACTCAGAGCACAAAGCTGACCTTTCTGTTGACCTCTGCCCTCTGCGGTCTGGCTGGCAAAGGTCAGGATCTCCTGGCAGAAGTGTCTCCTCTCTTCATCGCTCAGGTTGGTGTCGCTGGCGAGCAGAGCACTCGTCTGCAGGTATCTACACACATGGTCAAAGAAACCACACACACCCACAGCTGATGACAAACATTTACACAAAAAATAAATAAATAAATATATA